CTCTGTAGTATTTGGCTCAGTGTAAAATTGTTGCTACTTATGCAGTTTGAGATAATTATTTGGCTCTTATGCACACAAACGGTCGACTGATGTGGATTTAACTATATTATTATTGCTAACTTTATAGAGCTTCATTTTATTATAATCATGCTTGGAGAAAGCTGAATATGTTCCGATAAAAGAGTGATGTCTTACACTGTACTTGTAATTGGCAGTTACCTTTTGTGTTTCTTATTTCTAAGGCCATAAAACTTTACTAGTTATGTTGTTGAACTCTGCCAGTTATTTGAAGACAATTTTGATTTGAGCTTGTCTTATAGTCAAATGACCCTTGTAAAATTATTGTAGGAAACAAAAACTGACTTCTCAAGAAAAGCATCAATGTCATCCAGCACTTATAGTGGAAGTCCTATGTCGTGTTTGTCTAGAAGGGCACCAGTATTGCCTCCTTTTTCTGGCAGGTGGATGACAACAAATAGAGAAGCTGCTCAAGATTCATCTGCTTCTGTGACTGATGTTGCACCTCAAATTAAATTTAAAAGGCTTGACAAGACTGCTAGGCACATAATGCAGGCATGCCTCTTTCTTCTTAAAGCTGCTGTTATTTGCATATTTAGAGCCTTATTTTAATCACATGAATAAATGTTGTACTTGCAGATAATAGATAAGGAAGCAGTGGGGGAAGTGAAGGCTCAAAGAGAGATACCTGAAATAAAGCCTGGTTACATTGTACAACTCAAAGTGGTATGACATGTTTCATGGGTAGATATTGTTTCTAGGATGGGTTTTGAGGGTTTCATGCTTGAATGGATCACACTAATAGGTTGTCTTTTTTGTGAACAGGAGGTGCCTCAAAACAAACGGCGTGTTTCACTTGTAAAAGGCATTGTTATAGCTAGACGTAATGCAGGGCTTAATACTACCATTAGGATAAGGAGGCTAGTGGCTGGTGTTGGAGTTGAGTCTCTCTATCCACTGTAAGAAATCTTGGAGTTTGGTTGCTTTCCTCTGTAACCTCTGTGCATGATATTTTGCATTTGCTAAAGCATGTTATTGTTTTGTTGGAGGCAAAAGCAGTTGAACTATCCCACTATACTGTAATAATACTGAATCTTTGATGATATGGATGGAGTGCATATTGTTTTGCATGTTAGAGCATGGGATTAGCTGGAATATGCTTAAAGTAGGATTGATGTTATCATTTTAAAATTAGGTTAGATTAATGCCCATTTTATTGCTGCAGCACTGTTTTCCAAATTTCAATTTTTGTTATTGGTTTCTTATTGAACTTTTCAGCTTCAACGTCTTAAATGATTTTCACAATTTATCGTTGTATGATGGTGCCTTTTTAATTTTTTGGTGATTAGCCATTTATGTAAGTAAGCTGTATCCACATTTTAGACATTCTTGCTGGTAGCTCAATTTGGTTATGCGCTTTATGCATGGTGGCCAAATAAGTTGGTGCTGATTGACAGGTACTCACCTAACTTGAAAGAGATAAAGGTGCTAGACAAGAAGAAAGTAAGGAGGGCGAAGCTTTACTATCTCGGGGACAAGATGAATGCCCTAAAGAAATAGTAGCGAGCATCAAAGCCAGTCCGAGATAAAATGGTTTCCTTCTGAAAGATGGTGTTAGATCTTTCTGTTGACTGAATCTCCTAATTATCTGTTTTTGGTATTAATCAGGTTTAATCTGTTCATATTTTTGGACAATTGGGTCAGTAGCACGCAGCACGTGGCAAACTGCCAAAAGTTTTACAGCCATCTGTCTTTTTTTTTTTTTTTTCTTTGAACATGACAATTACAGCATATTAGGGGTATGGGAATGGAGGATACCGGGTTCAAACTTGTGAGTTGGATTGATCACTAAACTTAGCCACTTGGCCGGAGCATGGGATCCATAGACATCTGCTCTTGTTTGCGGATTTACCTTTTCCCTTATTAATTTTTCGTTGTTTTTATGAGAAGCATGTTGAAAGATTGTATGAGAAGGATGTTGAAATTTTCATTCACGAAAAAAACTTTCGAGTTTCAGAATAATTTGTGCATAGGCTGGCAGCAAAATAGGTTATGTTGTGCAGATGCCATATTCTAGTAGTAACGGTTGAGAGTTCAAATTTTAGATTTTTTTGTTTTTCATTTAATGATTGGATTTAGTTTTAGATACTCAACGATACTGTTATGATTAATTTCAATTTTTAATGGTGTAATGCGGAAAGAAAAATAGATTTTTTTATCAGCAAAATTAAATTTTTGTGACGAGAGGAGAGGACAAAGTGGACGGGTGAGCACTCATAGTACTCGTCTCTTTGGTCATCCCTTTTTTAGTATATTTTTTAGATGTTTTGAGTGTGCCTATAGTTATTTATTATTATTTTTGTTAAAGTTATTTAATTTTATTTAAATTAATTGTTAAAAATAATTAATAATTAATAAAATAATTAATATTTATTATTTAATAAATTAAAATTAATTCATTATTCAACTTATATTTTCTATTTAAACTCTCGCTGCACCTCCCCATTCCTTTCCTTATAAAAATTTTAACTAATTAACTTATCTTACAAAAAAATAAATATTTTTAAATGTTATAAGTAATTATTTTAAAAAATTAAAAAATATATCAGTTAAACTAAATAATTGTTGGTCGAGCGTAACAAAATGATCGTGGCCCTCATGTTTTCTTGTTGTTATGAAGGTTAAATACTAAATTTAGTCTCTCAACTCTATGAAATGCACATTTTTTATCCCTTAACAATTTTTTACACTTTTTTTATCCCTCAACTATACAAAATGCATTTTGTTAGTCATTTCGTCAATTTGGGCTGTTAACTCTGCCATGTGGCATTTTTTTATTTTTTTTTTGACACGGAGAGCAAAATTTAAAAAAGTGCTGATATGGACCAAACTTTTTGCCATGTTATGTTCTCATGACTTAAAGGCTCCAAATCCACTCAAATGGGCCCCACATTGCCTGCCAAAACACCAATAAAGACATGATAAACTCTAGGATTGTAGAGATGTCTTTTGGATTGTTCTTTTAGGAGAAAAAAAAATCTAATAATTTCTACAGAATAAGGAACACTACACTTTCGAAGAACTCAAACCCTACTCTTTGGGATTGCAAAGATTTTCTTAGAGTTTATCCTATCTTCCTTGTTTGATTCTCCTTCAAAGTTCAAACTCAAACCCTAGATCTGTTGGGATTCCAAGGATTTTACTAAGGGAATCAAAGTTGCGATTGTTGAAAAGTCACTCAAAAGTAGGATCGATGGACCCCAATGACCCCAAAATCGTTGATGTCAACCTGGAACCAAGCAAAGAGATTCTAGAAGACGAGGTATCAATATGGGTTTCCTTCTCCTTTTTTCTATTGTTGTCTAACTAATTCAAAGGGTACTTTTTTACACTAACATAGACCCTTGTTTGATAAAAGTGATGCAAACATTTTGATGCATGTACTGCATGACTATTCGAGGAGAAAAGGACATTAGGTCCCCACTTAGACAGGAAGTTTGTGTCATTTTTGTCTTTCCCATTTACTTTTGGGTTGAATAATAATTTCTTTATTAAGTAAAATTGTCTTAACAATTTAAAATTTTTGCTTTCAATGCTGCTGGTTTTTTGGTGTCTACTGCGTTGACTTGTGTCCAGACCAGATCTGTATTGAGTAACTTATCTTGTTTGTTTGCTTTATTTATTAAGGCGAGCATGATTCAGGAAATGAGGCAAAAACCAAATTTGTAGCAATTTTCATTCATTTGGGTGGGAGGTTTATATAGGGAGTTGATAATTCAATTTCATATGTTGATGGTGAATGTGATGACTGGATTATTAATAGGGATAAGTTGACATTGTTTGAACTTTATACTAAGATTGGTATTGCTGGATATGATGCTGATATGGTTGACCAAATATGGTATTTAGAACCAAGAAAAACAATTACAGATGGTTTGAAACCTATTAGGACTGATCATGACATTAGGGATGTTTTGGGGGTGTTGAAGGTGGAGAAAAAGGTACATATTTATGTGTCTCATGTCCCGGATTTTGCTGAAATTATACCTATCTTACCATTACCAGCCCCTAGTGATAAGGGTACGGTTGACGACAATCCTGTTGAGGTTGAGGGGAGAGTAGAAATTGATCATGTTGATGTGGAAGGTTGAGTTGAGGATGCTGGTCATGTGGTTGAGGTTGAAGGCAGAGTTGATGATGCTGGTAATGATGGTAATGAAGACAATGAACATTCTGAGGATGAAGATGATTTTCTTCCATATATATCAAAATTGAGTAATAATGAAGATAAGGAAATTATCAAGGCGAGAAAGAAAATGAAGTCTTCGCATGAGGCAACTTCTAGATCAAAAAATGCTAGGAAAGGTGTTAAGTATGGTCGTAATCAACCATCAACAGGCATTTCATCAACTTTCATTTTATCTAGTTCATTAATGAATTAATGGAATACATAGTAACATATATGCTTTGCTTGCAGGAGCTATTCATGAAATTCCCTCATCTTCAACTGGTCACAATGATCTTAGTTCGAGGATTCATTAAGCTTAGATGATGATATTAGCTACATTTCAACAAGTGAAAAGGATGGAAGTGAACTTGAACATGCTAGGAGAAGGAAGTGTAGGCACAAAGTTTTCAGAGGAACAGATGATGGCAATGTACAGATTGAGTTAGGCATCGTTTTTCTAAACAAAGCTGAGTTTAAAAAAGCTGTGGATAAATTGAGCATTATGCAAAGGAGGCCAATTAAGTGGGTGAAGAATGATAAGAAGAGACACAAGGCTATTTGTAATGAAAGGCACTATGACTGGAAGATTTTGTTAGCATGGGATAAGCCAACAGAGACATGGATGGTCAAGACATTTAACATTGAACACACGTGAATGGGGATCGACCAATTGGAGATGTAATTCAACATTTGCAATGAACCATTTATTGAAGACTAAGGGTTTTACTGTTGTTTATTTGAAAAGTGGAGATATTTTTGCTAAAATATGGGATGATTTGAATGTGGAGTTGACTCACATCTTGTGTAGGATTATTAAAAGGAGGCTGAGAAAAACTTTTGAAGGGGGATCATTCATTGGAATACAGCAAGCTTTTTGACTATGTTGTAGAACTGAGAAAAAGAGATCTAGGAACCACTGTTTCGATTTATGCACTGAGGCCATTACCTTAACTCAACCCTATTTTCTTGAGGATGTATGTGTGTTTTAGTGCAATGAAAAAGGGATTTATTGCTGGATGTAGGAGAGTAATTGGTTTAGATGGAGCTTTTCTCAAAGGACCACACAAAGGGGAATTACTTACTGTTGTTTGTAGAGATACGAATGACCAAATATACCCAATTGCATAGGGTATAGTGGAAGTTGAAAAGGAAGAAAGTTGGTTTTGGTTTTTGGAAGAACTTAAATATGATTTGCAAATAGGAGATGGTGATGGTTATGCTATAATATCTGACCAACAAAAGGTATAATATACTTTATTTTCATTTATATATATAATTTAGTGTACTTTCCAAGTTTCAGTTATAGTCATATGTGCATGATATGCATGCTGTGTTGCAATAAGTTTATATATGCACTTTTTTTGTCCCTTAATTATTTATTACTGCACTTTATTGGTCCCTCAACTTTTTATTATTGTACTTGTTTGGTCCCCCAACTTTTTATTATTGCACTTTCTTGGTCCTTGATCTAATAATGTCTTGTATTTTTTTCATTTTGGTTATAGTTGATAATGGCTTGGTTAAATGCAGGGGTTGACAAATGTCATTGCAGACCTTTTTTCAAATGCAGAACATAGACATTGTGCTAGGCATAGATATGCCAACTTCAGGAAGAAACACAAAGGGAAGGATTGCAAGCCTTATTTTGGAGATGTGTGAAGGCACTAAATGAGGTAGAATTCAATGTAGCCTTAGCAGAGCTAGGCAAATTGAAGTCTGTAGTAAGGGATGACATAATGAATGTAGATCCCAAGCATTGGAGCTGAGCTTTTTTCAAAGCTGAATTAAGTCATCTGTGGTCGACAATAACATGTGTGAGGTGTTCAATGCCTTGTTGATGCACGACACAAGGCAATAATTTCTATGAATCAAGAAATGAGAGCTATGTGTGCAGCAAGAACTATTGTTAGGAAAGAGTTTGGATCTACTAAGTTTGTGGGAGAATTTGGCCTTAAGATATGGACTAAGATTGTACGGAATAGGGAAGGTAGCAAGAAATGCAAATTCCTATGGCCTGGTGGAGGTGGTTTTGAAGTTGAGGATTACCTGAATAGTAAAAATAAAGTCGATTTAGGCAGAAACACTTATATTGTAGATTTGGAAGATAGAAAATGCACCTGTAGGTATTGGGATATATCTGGGATTCCTTGTAGACATGTCATGACTGTATTGAGTTTAAAAAAACTAAGAGTTGAAGAATATGTTTCAGATTGGTACAAGTTGTCAAGATTTAGGGCCTCTTATGCATATGAGGTACCAGTTGTTGAAGGCATGAATCAATGGACACCAACAAGGGTGCCAACCATACAACCACTTGCACCACGGAAGATGCTTGGTAGGCCTAAGAAAAAAAGAAATCCTGAAGAATGGGAAGGAAAGAAAAAAAATGGGAAGACAAGGAAGACAAATGACCTACCAGAAATGCTTCCAAAAAGGTTACAATTCTAGATCGTGTAAAGGCCAACCGCCGAATGTAAGTAACATGCAAGCTTTATTTTTGTCCTTCTATTGGTGCACTAAGTTAATTATACTTTGGTTACCATTTTTAGGTGCCCCAAATGGAGAATGAACCATATGTGGAGCAACCACCCCTTGTTGAGGACAACCATCCACCATCTGTTGATGACAACCAGCCATGCATTGCTAAGGAAGAACTAGTGAACATGACCCAAGAAGATCCTCCAATGAGTCAAGTAGTTAGCCCAACTCCACCAATTCAACAGGCCATAACTCCCATTACAAGAAAGAAAGAGAGAGCTAGAAGCGCTCATCAGCCAGTAATGGCAAAACGTTTTGTCCATATCAGCACTTTTCTAAATTTTGGTCTCCATGTCAAAAAAAATATAAAAAATGCCATATGGGCGGAGTTAATAGCCCAAATTGACAAAAGGACTAACGGAGTGCATTTCGTATAGTTGAGGGATCAAGAAAGTGGAAAAATTTGTTGAGGGACCAAAAATGTGCAACTCATAAAGTTGAGGGACCAAATTTAGCATTTAACCTTTTATGAACTAGAAGTGAAAAACCATAATGATTTCTCTCCTCTCTTTTTTTCTTAATTTAATAAACAGTCTAGTAATTTTATATTTTTATTTATTTTATCTATTGTCTTTAGATACTTTCTATAAGGATAGGCTAAGGACAAGTCCGAGATCAATAATCTTGGACATATTGTGCATATTGTGAAATCCAATCCTTTACTTGTGAACCTCGGTCTCTCGATAGCCGAGGTGAAGTCTAAATTCATTTCTTCCCAATTGTATGATAACTACTGTGAGCATGCCCTTTCCCAATCCACTATTCCCGAGATCATCATTCTACTAGACACGTTAGGATCTGATTATCTCATTAAGCAAGCCACATGGACACCTCATTAAGGCCTATAAATACCCCCATAGGTCACCTCAAAAAGATAATTGAAATTGGCCTAAAGCTTTTTTTACAGTCTCTTCTTTAGGTAAACCAGATTATTACTAACTTAAACATCAAAGTATCTACCCTAAGGACTCACCTTGGGGCTTTGTAGGTCAATTTGAAGAGAAGATTTAGACTGAAAGAGACTTATTGGTTCGTTGCAATTACATTTGGTGTCGTATTTGGGAATCTGAATTAAACGCCTTCTTGTTGCCTTCTTACTATGGTTAATCCTTGATCTATCCAAATTGGAAGTCAAGCTCAACCTCTTAGACGAGGTCAAGCTCTAAACACAAATGACTTTCCACCTCCAACCCTAAACCCATTTGCTCCTGTGGAACATGCAAAGGGAGGCGATGAAAACCAATCTCACAATTCAGCTCCCACTCCCAATCAAGGTGATCTTGTGGCAGCTTAGCTTGTTGTAATACAACAACAATTTGGTGTTTTCCAACTGGTTTTGGCTCAGCTCTTAGCCATAAACAATCCCGGTGACCCCTTCATTAACTTACTTAATCCAGCCCAACCACTCCCAACTCAACCACAAGAACCACATCATGCCCACTTCGATGATAACTGAGCTGCCCTAGCCCTCAGTGAATCATAAGGCCAATCTCATATGGTTCCACTTTAACAACCTTTACCCGATGATGTTACTCAACAATTGGACAACTTAAAAAGGATAGTAGTTGAAAAGCAAGGTGCTCCATCTCCACAAGACAACATTAACTCCATGCCACCTCTGTTGAACACTAACATAACTTTGGAACCCTGTTTTGTTGGTTTCAAGATGCCTCAGATTGAAACGTATAATGGAACTAAGGACCCAAATGATCATTTGCATGTTTTTCATTCCTGTATGTAAGCTCAAAATGACTCTAACGCTTTGATGTGCAAAATTTTCCCTTCTACTCTCTGAGTTAATGTTAGAACATGGTGCTATAGCTTACCTCCGACGTCCATCAGCTCTTATATGGAGATGACAACTACCTTTGCTACAAAATTCTCTAGTAAAAGGTTGATTAAGAAAACTACATATGAGTTCATGAGGGTCATACAGAGGGAAGGGAAATCCTTGAAAAACTACATGAACAGATTCAATGATGCAGTTCTTGAGATTAGTTCCTTTGATCAAGATGTGGGAATAATAGCTATAATTCAAGGCCTCAACCATGAAAGATTTAGGGACAATTTGATTAAGCATCCTCCTACCACCTTTGATGAAGTTAATGACAGATCTCGGAAGTTCATGTTAGCTAAAGAATATGCCTTATCACAAAAACAAGTATTGGTTAAGAACCTAAACCTGACTTGAAGGAAGAGGGGTAGAGTAGGAAACGGGTGAAGACCGTTCAAAATAAAGGTCTGATGCCAACCTCCAGACCCAGATTTGGGAAACTAGATTCAACCGCTCCTCAACAAACTTCTGGAAAGACAATAAGTACATGGACCCCTTTCAATCTGCTGAGGTCGCAGATATTCATGCAAATTAACAATAAGATGGACTTGAAACGACCAACACCAATGAGAAGCTCTACTGCTACGCGCGATCATATTAGATATTGTGACTTCCGCCAAGACCATGGTCACACAACTGAAGATTGTAATAACCTGAAGTCCAAGTTGGAAGACTTAGCTCGGAAGGGAATGTTGAATGAGTACATCTAGAAGAAAGATCAGCCCAGGTTTGTCAGAGAATAGGGATCACACCTATAGGGCTCTCGTAATACAAATACCAGAAAGGGAGTGGGATATCAGCAAACCTCTCCACCCCTTCCACCCCCGGCTAGAATCATCCACATGATTACGGGTGGATTGGAAGCAGGAGGCTTGAGTTCCAAACAAAAGCTATATGTTAGAGAGGTGAAGCACTAGAATTAAGCTCAGAAAAGAAAGTTTGATGATGTTGAGTGGAAGAATCAGCTAATCACCTTCACCTATGTTAACCTTGATGGGGTTGTGACACCTCACAATGATCCGTTGGTTATTTCCATTATAGTTAATAACTGTGAAGTACAACATGTCCTTATTTGATACTGGTAGTGCACCAGATATAATATACTATCATTGTTTTGAGAGCTTTGGTCTCAATTCAACTTTATTGCAGAGATATGATAGTCCTATTTATGATTTGAATAACCAACAAATCCTAGTTAAAGGGGTCCTCACTCTTATTGTGGCATTTGGACAAGGATGAACTTATGTCACTCCTTCAATTCAATTCCTAGTTGTTGAAATGGCATTTTCTTTGAACATTGTCATTGGTCGGCCTACATTAACAGAGATTCGAGCTGTAGTCTCTTAGTTGCATTTGTGTATGAAGTTCGCCACACCTATGGGAATAGCAACATTAAGAGGTAATTAGGAGGTAGCTAGGCATTGTTATATTACCTCAATTACACAACCTTAGAAGGAGAAAAATTAGATGCTAGAGGCTACTCCATTGGAAAATTTTCATAGACAACAAGTGATGGGAGTAGAGATACTTGACAATCGACCGGAAGATGAAATTCGAGCTACTTCGGTTGAGGATGTTGAAGAAGTATAGATTGATGACAGAAATCCAAGTAGGAAAACCCAGATTGAAACTCATTTGAACCCAAAAGAAAAAGCTAAGTTAATAGCCTTTCTTCGAGCTAACAAAGGTTTGTGTGCTTGGACTTCAGCGAATATGCCAAATGATCCCAACCTTAGTATCTATGCATAAGTTTAGCACCAATCCATTAAAAAGGCTAGTTGCATAAAAATGGTGCCTCTTCAAAGGAGAGAGACTAAAGGCGATTAAGGAAAAGGTGGAGAAACTCTTGCAAGTAGACTTCATTAGAAGAGTTGACTATTGTGAATGGGTTGCCAACCCAATGTTGATAAAAAAAAGCTAATGGCAAGTGGCGAATGTACATTGACTACACTAATCTTAATCAGGGTTGTCCTAAGGATTTCTATCCGATGCTAAATATTGACAAACCGGTTAAGGTAGCTTCTAAAAATGAGAGATTGAGTCTCTTAAATGTATATTCCGACTACCAGCAAGTTTCGATGGCCTCTGAAGATGAAGAGAAAACCTCATTTAATGTAGGTGATGAAATTTATTGTTATGTAATAATGCTCTTTGGCTTAAAGAATGTAGGCACCACTTACTAGAAGATGGTAGCCACTATGTTCCAAGCTTAGATTAGCAGAAACTTGTAAGTTTATGTTGATGACATCATGGTGAAGAGCTTGAAAGATGAGGACCATTTAGCTAACGTAGATGAAACTTTCAACAATTTGAGGAAGAACAAAATGCAATTGAACCCAGCAAAATGCATATTTGGAGTGAAGTCGAGAAAATTTCTGGGTTTATGGTTTTCAAGAGGGGGATCAAGGTCAACCTAGAGAAGATCAAAGCAATAGTAGAGATGACACCTCTGAAATCCATTAAGGACGTGTAAAAGTTAACTGGGAGAGTAGCAACCCTTCACAGATTCATTTCCAAGTTAGCTGACAAGTGCCTTCCATTCTTTAAGATCATGAGATTAGCAGCCCAAAAAGATGAATCTGGCAAGCCGGAAAAGTTTGAATGGACTACAAAAATGCCAAGCTACATTTGACAAGCTTAAGTCCTATCTTAGCTTACCTCTATTATTGACAAAAGTTGTTGATGGGAAAATCCTTTACTTGTTACTCAGAATCTTAGATGAAGCAGTTAGTTCTGTATTACAGAGGGAAGAAAGAAAGCACTAAAAGCCAGTCTATTATACAAGTAGAGTGTTACATAGGGCGGAGTAGAGATACTCTATTGTTGAGAAAATAGCTTTAGCAATAATTACTTCAGCTAAGAAACTGGGATTGTATTTTCAGTCACACCCAATAACTGTGCTTACAAATCAACATCTTTGGTAAATATTGCAGAAACTAGAATGTTTAGGTGAATTAATTAAATGGGCAATCAAGTTGGGAGAGTTTGAAATAACATTTCAACATAGATCTACAATCCGAGCTCAAGTGTTAACAGATTTTGTCATTGAGTGCACCTCCAATCAGACAAGTTCAGAAACCAAACCGGATACATGAGTTTGTTATGTTGATGGGGCATCCAATAATAAGGGGTTAAGAGCTAGAGCTATTTTAATAAGCCCATATGGGTGTCAAAGTGAGCAAGTCTTAAAGTTCAACTTTGACGCGACCAACAATACGGTCGAATACGAAGCTCCATTGCTTAGCCTCTAGTTAGCATTAAAGTTAAAAGTCAGAGTAATTCAAATCTATAGTGATTTCCAACTTATAGTTAATCAGGTCAACTCTATTTGTGAGGTTGTGGATTTCACTTTGATGAAGTATGTGATGCTGGTGTCCGAGCTTAGAGGTAAATTTGAAAAATTCTGTCTAAGCAAGATACACAGATTTGAGAATGAATAAGTAGATTCACTTTCCAAGTTTGGCTATGATAGTTCTAGATTTACGAGATCAGTTTTCGTTGAGATTCTCAATGAGCCAGTTTCCAAAGGCCAAAGATGATGGAGATCAACATAGATTCGAACGCACTAAGTTGGACAGATTCGATTAAGCCCTTCTTATAAGATGGTTTAGTTCTTGAAGACAAACAAGAAGAGATGAGATTGAAGAGAAAGATAGCGTAGTATACCCTAATGAATGGGATCCTTTATAAGAGATCGTTCTCACTCCCTTTGCTCCGTTACCTAACCCCTTATGAAGCTGAATATACAATTTGGGTGGTGCATGTGGGTGTTTGTGGAAATCACATCGGTGTCAGGACTTTGGCTCACAAAGTTCTTAGGCAAGGATATTACTAGACTAATATATAGAAGGATGCCATAGATTTCGTGTAGAGTTGCCCAAAGTGCCAATTCTTTGCACATTTGACTCATCAGCCAACAGAGGAGCTCACAAACTTAGTGGCACCATGGTCGTTTGCTCAATGGGGTCTAGATCTTTTAGATCCATTTGTGAAAAGAGTTGGAAGGTAACCCATCTGATAGTTAGAGTCAACTATTTCACAAAGTGGCTTGAAACTCGACCATTATCTAGCCTCACTCCAAGAAAATTGAGGACGTCGTCTTCAATTTAATCATCTGCAAATATGGGATCCCAAATCAAATTATATCTGACGACGAAACACAATTCAACTATACTTCGTTCAAAGATTTTTGGTCCAACTATGAAATTAAGCTACAATTTACCTCAGTATATCACCCAGAGTCCAATGGAATGGTGGAGTCGATCAACAAAGCTATTTTGGAAGGAATAAAACTAAAGTTGGAGCAACATAAGGCTAAGTGGGCAAACGAGCTCAACAACGTGCTATGGGCATATAGAACTACAAGCCAAACTGCCACAAGTACCATTTCCTAACCCCATCTAGTTTCATGCTCCTTTATTATTTCTATTACTTCAAGTTTATGTAAAATATATAAAACATATAAAGCATATACTAAAACAGTAACTCAATGGAATAGGTGAAACACCATATCACTTAGCCTTTGGTATCGAAAGGGTCATTCCTAATGAGATAGGAGTTCTAAGCTTTAGGGTCACCTATTTCGATGAAGGACGAAATGGACAACTGCTTCAGGAACCCTTGGTCTACTTATCAAAGTCAAAGAAGAAGCACAACTTTGAACTTTGTCATACAAGCAGAAGTTAGACAACTTCTATAACAAACGAGTATGCTCTTGAACATTCTGAGTTGGTGACCTTGTTCTTAGAAAAGCCAGCTTAACAAGGTTTGGAACCCGGTTTGGTAAGTTAGCCCTGAACTGGGAAGGCCCTTATACCATGATTGAAGTACTGCACCCAGGTACCTATATTCTCCAAGATGCTATGGGAAAAAAAGTTCCTAAAGTCTGGAATGTCAATAATCTAAAGAAATTTTACCCTTAATTCATTCCCATAAGCGGTTTTTTGTCCAATTTTACTTCACATTTCTTCATTCATATGTTTGGATGAATTTGTTATTCATCTCAATTCTTGAACTTATAATATATTAATAAGAATTCCACCTCATATTCGAGGTGATTTCATATTTTATTTCAGTTTCTATCTTAAACAAATACAAAATGACACAAATGAATAAAACAAATCACAAATATATCAATAAAACTAATGTATAAAAATTATAAGAATGTTTCAAACATATTGTTCAATTATCAAAACAAAACACAGAAATCATGAAAACAAAGATGGCTACTCTGCCGATGGAAGTTGCTGGTTCACTTCTTACTATGGTTTGTTCTCTCCAACCTCAGCACCTCCAGCTACCTCTGCTTCTTCTTCAACTACTACAAAATTGAAGTCAAATTTTGGAGGAAAAATGGTGCGGCCATCATTGTCGTGATCCCACCTTAACTTGACTTTGGGATGGAAGTCAACCGTTTTGCTATCACCCTTTTCCGCCACTCCTCCTTCTTGATCTCTAAAGGTAAAGGTGGTCACATCCAGTTTAGGATGTTGGGCCTTGACCTTCTTCCTACAATCTATAAAGGTAAGTATCGCAGTAGGTAGTCAATAAAGGTTGACAATGTTGTCAAAGGTGCTAGACTTGAGGAACTCATCAATATGTTTCTTCATAGCGTTGTGCACTCGGAGATTCACACTCTTCTTTAACTTGATAGCAGCCTTCCTCTCTTTTTTAATTTCTTTGTCTTGAGCAGCTATCTTGTCCTCACAAATCTTCCTCTTTCTTTCTTCAAAAACAACAGTCATTTTTAATGACTCATTTTCCTCTTGAAGTCATCTGAACTCCGGAGTCATATCTTGCAGATCCCTTTCCACCTCATCCTTCTACTTTCTTAACTCCTCATTCTTCTTCCTTAGATCATTTTTGTCTTTGAGGCTCTTAAAAAACTTGTTTGACAAAGCATTCACTAAGTTAGCAGCCTGTAAAACTCAACACTGTTAAAAAAAAAGAAAAAAAAGAGAGAGCTAAAGAAGAAGTCAAAGTCATCAACTATACCTCAAGGACATGGCGTACCACCCTAACACCACTGTGGGTTAGTACCTCGTCCTAAGCCCCATGTAGATCCACTTCAAGGAAGGTGGAGTTAATGAATCTCTTCAGAGTAGATCTGCTCTTGGTATCGTAGAAGCTGCTCTGATGTGAAGGGGGGAAGGAGTTCTTTCCCTTTACCATGGGTTATAACTTCAACCTCTCTAAGTTTTGGATCGATTTCAACTGGAGGAGGACGAGGTAAGAACTCCACTACTTCATCCCCCCATTCCTTCTATTGTTCTTTCACTCTCCTCTTCTTTTGAATAGCCCCAACTCTTTCACTCCCTTTCCGTTTAAGCTCTGACCTTGGCCCCTCAACATCTGAAGCCTAGACTGAGGTGCTGGAAGGCTGTGCCTTTTTTTTACCTCCTTTAACTCCCCCTTAACTTTCAGTTGCTGCAGAAGTCTTTGACTTCTTCTTTGGCTTCTTGAGGATAGCCATTCCTCCAACTGCAAAAAAGGAACTTGTCCATCTCAATTGCAAAATAGCAAAAATGTTAAAAACACTAATTAGAGCTTAACTTCCACCCATACAACATAAATAAAACACACACCTTCATTTAAAGAGTTCACTCCATAGAACTTAGCCCCCTCCATAGCATTATGTACAAAAGTTGGTGTGGAGGGGGCTAAGTAGCAGGCCTAATTAACACTTGGGGAGGAAGGTCATAAGTCTTAACTAAGTGAATGAGGCTACTCCTACCTTGCCATTCCGTTTCATAGCCCATTACCTCAGACACGATATTTGATTTGCTGTTTCATCATAGCATTTATTTTGACCTCCCTCAACTTCTAAAATATTAGATAGAATCCCCTCATCCCCGCCTATTACTTCCTCAATCCTCTCTAACCCAGAAGACTCAGTCTCCACACTCATTTCTTCATGCTCCATCACCCCAACCTCCTCACTTCCCCCAACACTCAGTGTCTCTTCTGATGACATTTCTTTTGTTTTGTAACTTTCACTACACAGATTAGGAGGTGGGATGTAATCAAGATCTTCAATAAACTCTAATTCACGCTCTATATCACTCTCACTTCTAAATCTAACTTCTTTAAAGGGACTTAAATCTAAATTAGAAAGGGTGAGAGAAGAATAAAACTCTTCACTATTGTCAAAATCAACAAAACTCATTAAGTTACTTGATCTCGGTAGTGCAGAACTTAGTGTTGAATCCAAAATACTTCACGCGAAAGTCCAGTCGTACTAGCTCGATTGAAATTTTAGCAACACTTCAGTAGTAAATACAGTAAAGTAATAAAATTGTACTTAAGTTTGGCTATATATACTGATACGGGTATTGGCCTCAACAGCCACGATTGATTCTATCACAGTCATAACGATACCGTTTCAAATTAGACAATTAATTCCTAATGGAACCCTTTCAAATTCAACAATTCATTTTTTATTGCATTCTTTGAACTATGACAGTTACATTTTATTGTCCATATTTATTACGCACATCCTTTAAGGACAATTGTCATATCATGTACTAACTCATCTTCAAGCTTATTATGTGGGCCCAACTAACCCCAGCCCAAATTTTTATGTTTATACAAGTATATCCCTTCTCACTATACAAGTGTTTTATCTCTAACTAACATCACATGCATTTTTACTTCGGTTACAGCCATAATGACATGACTACATGTCATGCATTTTTTACTTCAGCCACAACCATAATAACATAACTATGTGTCATGCATTTTTTACTTCAGCTACGAGCATAACAACATGACTACCACTACTGCAGGAATCAGATATTCAGACCGAACTATCGGTCCGTATATATTACAAATCAGTCTGAATATATATATCCGGACCAATCTTGATCCCTATAGTTGATCTGAAAAAACCTGGTACGAAAAAATATAATATACAAACCGACATAAAATCGGTCCGGATATTTCAGTAAGAAACATGAATGGTTATTTAAAAATTGAAATAACCTGACCGAAATTGGTCCCAAAAAAATAATATAATAAAATAATAAAATATGTGCGAACCGAAAACGGTCTGGAAATGTGCCGGAAAGAGGCATAGCAAATATATACGGACCGGTATCGGTCCGAATATAGAGGACCCAGCAGAAACTTTTAAAACTTGCAAATATATCCATTTTCGGTCCGAATATTGTGGACTGGCTTGTAACTTTTAAAAGTTCCATGTCCAACCGGCGCTATTCTCAAACTATATCCAGACCATTTTCGGTCTGAATATTGTGGACCTGCTTGTAACTTTTAAAAGTTTTATGTCCAACCGGTGCTATTCTCAAACTATATCCAGACCGTTTTCGGTCCGAATAATTTGGACTTGCTTGTAACTTTTAAAAGTTTCATGTCCAATCGACGCTATTCTCAAACTATATCCAGACCGTTTTCGGTCCGAATAATTTGGACTTGCATGTCCAATCGACGCTATTCTCAAACTATATCCAGATCGTTTTCGGTCCGAATATTGTGGACTTGCTTGTAACTTTTAAAAGTTCCATGTCCAACCGGCGCCATTCTCAAACTATATCCAGACCGTTTTCAGTCCGAATATTTTGGACTTGCTTGTAACTTTTAAAAGTTCCATGTCCAACCGGCGCCATTCTCAAACTATATCCAGACCGTTCTCGGTCCGTAAATATCTTTAAAAAAAACAATAAAAAATAAAAGCATTTATAAAAAATAAAATATGATTATAATAATTACTTAAAATATATAAAAGTTTAATTATATTAT